AAAAAAAACTGCGAATGATTTCGCTCATTTGCGGAAGATTCAATTCATTTGCCGATCACACAATGTGGGTCGTAGAAATCGAAAATGTACGAAAACGTGCGCGTGCAGATTTGATTCAAATTCAAATCGCATATTTATTTGCGTTACGTTTACGACGACGATTCAGTGAGCAGAATAAAGATAGAGCAAGGAAATTGAGGCGAGTTGAAGTGAGTAATTTCGATAGTGAGGCAGATGATGATTTTGATGATGATGACTGTAATGATAAAAATGATTGATATGGCTGACTGGCGCCCTATAGACGACACTCATTAATGAAAAAGCATTTTTCGAAGTTTTTTTTCTGGAATACGAAATGTGAAATGAGAACAACATTCAATTGGTGTGCTGTTGCTGTCATTTTGGTTGTTATTTTGATCGGAAGCACAGAGGAGGATGATGTTCAGAAAGACGCATTTGTTTGTTGAATCCTATTCGAACAATATGCAACGAAGAGAACCTCGAACAAAATGACAGATAGGATCGATGACCTCAAGAAGGTGAAAAATTGATGAAAGGTTCCCTCAGATGTGTGTTTTAAAAAATATTGAGAGTTNATCGATATACCTTGAAAACTGATTCACTTACTGATCCAACGCTGTTTTTTGTTCAAACATTCCCGACGAAAAGAGCAGATAAAGTCATTTGCTACTCACTGCACATTGTTTCGGCTAGCATTTTTTTCAATGAAAATTGGTTTGCTATAAGAATGAGTCTTTGCATTTAGTGCTTTTCGCTTGTTAGATTTCATATTTTGATATATTTTCGATGAGAAAATCCTTTCTTAAAATCTTTTCTTCTACGCACACAACCCAATGGCTGCTGCATTCAACTTGGATAATTTACAGTCATCAATCATTCGCATTATTCGTGCGATGATCAATCATTCAATATGGAATGATGAATTTTTTTTTGCTTCACATCAACATTCCACGCTATGTGAACATCATCTTGTGTGTGTTTCTTTGGTGTTTTTTTGCTTGAAACTGAAATTGATAGTTTCGAAAACTGGTTTGCAATCAGAAAAACGATGATGAGAGGACGTCGTTCATTTAACGATAAGCAATTAATCTCATAAATTAATGTGCTTGCTCGTTGCCATCCTCGTAGAACCAAACAAAAACAGACGGCGAATCATAATGACAAAATCGATTCGGTTGAGTATTTCTAATTTTCAGTATTTCGGCTGAATTCACCGCTTTTTTGGTGATTTGTTTGGACGTGGTTGTAGTACGCGATGTTACCATGACAATACTATTCTTTAAGGCGAACAACCACAATCTATGCAACCACATAACAATTCATCACTCTCATTAAAACATCAGCAATGTGTTGCTAGCAATTTTTTACTTAAAAATCTTCGGTGCCGTTCCATTAACATACCACTTTCGAGAATTCTATTTTTTGGCAGTCACATGAGCTGATAGATTACGATAGGCTCAAGTAAGACGACGACATGGCGATTACGTAGTTGGAACCACCAACTTAATCAGGCTATTAATCAGTGTAGAAGAGCGAGCAGCATAAGTGTTGAATTCAATTATTTATCGTGTTGTTTGATCTAAAATAATCTATCTTCGTGACTGCTCACAATGAACTGATGAAATGACAGCATTTTTTTTGGTTTCGCCATTGACGCAAATCCACATTTCTAATCGAATTTATTGCTGTGTCTGCTGAACTCCTTGAAATTAATTTTACTTGTTATGAACTTGGAAAAAA